ACAAGGACCCGAGTTCGATCCCCGGTACCAAAAAAAAAAAAAAGCAAGAAAGTCATTAATCCCTCTTAACAACCTCATAACCTCTTAAAAGTGCCACCACTCAGTACAACCATAATGGCAATCATATTTCAACATGAACTTCAAAGGAGACAAACTATGTATAGCAGAGAAATTATAGTGGGGCCTGGGAACCAAAAACTGTGAAGGATTACTGTGTGACAGGTGTGCACACTTCTGTATGGAAAAGGTTTTGAGCAGCATCCCTTGTTTAGGTACTGCAGATCACTGGTAGGCAGATGGTCAGGAACAACAACTCAAAAGGTTGTGTAGAAGACACAACCAAACCTCTAGAAGAAGCTGGCTGTGGTGGTATGTGCTTATAGTTCTAGCTACTCAGGGGGCTGGAACTTCTCAGGATGGTCTTGAGCCCAGGAATTCAAGACCAGCCAGTGCAATACAGCAAGACTGTTGAAAAAAAGTCTAAATTTCTAGAGGCCATAGAAATGTTTGTATTTTTAATGTAGTAAGTAAAAAAGAAAAAAAACTATATAAAAAGTAATTTTATATTATTGAAAAACTGAAGTCATCTAAATGTTACATTAAGAAATTAATTCAGGTTACATGTGCTTATTATGCAGCCATTAAAAAAAAAAATATATATATATTTACAGCTGAGTGCAGTGGCACACGCCTGTAATCCCAGCTACTTGGGAGGCTAAGGCAGGAGGATTGTAAGCTCAGTGCCAGCCTCAGCAACTGAGTCAGACCGTTTCAAAATAAAAAGGGATGGGGATATAACTCAATATTAGAGTATCCCTGGGTTCAATCTCCAATACTGTTATAAAACAAAACAAAACAAACACAAACCAATGGTTACAACATAAGAGGGTGATGGATAATGTTCTTTATCTTGATTGTGATATTTTTTGTTTTGATGATGATGATGTTAAAACTGATCAAATTATGCATTTTAAATATGTACAGATTATTTTATGTCAAATTTATTTCAATAAGGTACAGGTTCCTTTTGTAAAAGAAATTGCCATGGGTACCTTTTGGGAAAAAATTGTGTGGTATAGGAAGTATCTGATAGACATAATATTAAAATCAAAACATAATTTCACACATAGTCTGATTACAATAATATAAAGAAAAGAAGATAGCCCAAAACTAACTGATTCTTTCTCAAAAGTAAAGCTTTAGTGCTGAGTATACTCACCACTGAAGAAGAGAAGGAGGATGCTGGATACCAGACAGAGTTTACCTTGGAAGAAACCTGTGAGATAAAATAATGATTTGATAAATGAGAGCAGAAAATTACTAAAATTTAGCAAATGGCTACTCTAAGCTCAACATTATTCTAGCTACTGTGGATATATGGAAAAGAACTTGGGTGTTCTAAAGGGCCATATAGACATTTTTAAAAGGTATGAAATGATGAGACACAGAAAACTGAGGGAAAAATAAAATAATTGTGTCCAGTTAAGTTTCTAGGACAGTCTTCATTTAAAAAATTTTCTTGGTCATATCATATTTTCCTCATTTTTGGCCTAGAAAGTATAATCATCATAAATCTAACAATATGAGAATACTTAATATGATACCTAAGCATTAAAGACAGTATATAATCACTATAATAAAACATAAATAACACAGTACATAATCACTGGAAGTATAAATAGTACTTAATCAAATGTGAGTATAGTACACATATACAAATATAATTGAATACCAATGTTCATAGCAGCTTTATTTGGAATAGCACAAAACTTAGAAATGACCCAATGTCCACGACTACATGGGTGAGGAAGGAAAGAGATGTGTATATTCAGACATGGAATACTACTTAATAGTAAAAAGGAATGAAATGATACATACAACATAAGTAATTCTAATTATGGCAAGTGAAAGAAGCTAGGCATAAAGAGGGCACACTAGATAGTTTCATTTATATAAAACTAGAAAATAAAAACTAATTTGTAGTATCAGAAGGCAGGGATGATGGGGAATATGGTAAAGAGGGTTAAGAAAAAAACTTTTTGGGTGATGGAAATGGGTGGTATAGGTAGTATCTGATAGGATAAAATCAGAGAATGGGGGAAGAAGGGTCAGTTACAATAACATGCCTCTTGAACTACAACTCTGAAAAACAGTTTGTATATATGTTGTAGAAGCAGATTTAAGAAACATTCAAGGCTGGGCCAGGGATTTAGCTCAGTGGTTTTGCTGCCTGCTGTGCAAGCGCAAAGACCCAAGTTCGATCCCCGGTACCAAAAAAAAAAAAAGAAAGAAAAGAAAGAAACATTCAAGGCTAATCAAAGTGAGCAAACTGAAACTCAAGACTGAGATGTTAAATAAAGCTGGAATTTGATCATTTACAATCTCGTCTGAAGAGAGACTAGTATTAACCAAAGCACAAGAATGTGTGTGCACCTGTAGTACTCCCCAGTGTAAAGGGTGCTGGTCCTTTGAGTCAGCAGACAATCCTTGTGTCTAGTCTGCTTCCTCTCCCATTTCCCACAAAAACTAATCAAACCATCAACACTCTCCTGAAGTCTACCAAGCCTTGTTTATAGCCATGTTCCCAAAACCAATGCTGTACCTGGTACATAGTAGGTGTTCAATAAAAGGAAGGTCCACTGCTGTCTGCCTTCCACTTTAGACTATGTTAGAAGCTCCTTTTTTGTAACCCCACAGCAGCTGACATTTCCCCAGTGAGGTTTATTTCTTGGTGTTACAATTGCCTAGGTTAACTGTTTTTTTGTTTTTTGTTTTTTGGTACCGGGGATTCAACTCGGGTCCTTGAGCTTGCGCAGCAGGCAACAAAACCACTGAGCTAAATCCCCGGCCCGCCTAGGTTAACTGTTATCCCAAAAGACTAAGTTCCAGGAGGGCAGGCACTGCATCTGTTTTGTTTACCTGCTTTACAGTTATTGCGATCAAGATTGTCCAGGTATGGAAAGTAACTAGCATGCAGTTGGTGTTCATTAAATATTATATTATATATACTTATTTGCTTTTACTCTTTGCTATTTAAAAACTTAATAATTCTCTTAAAAATTTCAACTCTATTACTTCTCTCACGTTTTCTTTTATTTTTCTTTCTTGGTACCGGGGATTGAACTTGGGACCTTGCACTTGCAAGGCAGGCGCCAGAACCACTGAGCTAAATCCCTGGCCCTCACTTTGTTTCTCCTACTTCAGAGAAAACAGCAACAATAGGATGAGGGATGAGGACTTCTTTTTTTTTTTTGAGGCCAGGTCTCGCTATGTAGTGCAGGCTGGCCTTGAACTCACTATGAACCCCAGGCTGTTCTAGAACTCATGGCAATCCTCCTGCCTCAGCCTCCCAAGTGCTGGGATTACAGGCGTATGCTACCATGCCAAGTTTACTTTGTTTTTTGGATATGGTCTCATTACGTAGTCCAAGCTGGCCTCTCAAACTTGCTATGTTTGCCCAGGCTGCCCTTGATCCTCCTGCCTCAGCCTCCCAAGTGCTGGGATTACAGGCATGCACCTAAATACCTAATGAAGTTTAACTTCTTCAACTTATTAGCAAGCCTGCAAAAGTGACCTCCAGCCCACCTGCACCTGATGGAGGTGGCCAGCAAACTCCCTGAGGGCAAAGTAAAGGGACACAGGTGTGCACAATGTCTATAGACTAAAGAAATCTAAAGCTAATCTCTGCCCTTGTGCTCTAAAGTCAACTTTTTCTATCTCAAGACAATTCCATCAATTATCCTATCCTGTACCTTAAACTTCTATCCAATTGCTGCTTTATAAGCATATTACACTAAAATAAAATCCTGAGTGTGGTGGTGCACGCCTGTTATCCCAGCACTCAGGAGGCTTAGGCAGGAGGATTGCTGTGAGTTCAAGGCCAGCCTGGGCTACACAGCAAGACTCTGTCTAAAAAAAAAA